AGATGGCTAGAACTATGCTCAATGAGGCTAACCTTCCTAAATATTTTTGGGCGGATGCCGTGAGTACCGCGTGCTACGTGTTAAACCGAGCCGTCATTAGACCGATACTCAAGAAAACGCCCTACGAACTTTACAAAGGAAGAAAGCCTAACCTTTCCTATTTTCATGTCTTTGGATGTAAAGTTTTTATTCATAATAATGGAAAAGATAACTTGGGAAAATTTGATGCTAAGTCGGATGAAGGAATTTTCTTAGGTTATTCTCTTCGTAGTAAGGCATATAGAGTGTTCAACAAGCGTACTAAGACCGTAGAGGAGTCTATTCATGTTGTTTTCGATGAAATTGATGCTCGCTTGGCGAGAAAAGGTATTGTTGACAATGTTGCAGGTTTTTATGACGATGAAGAAGAAATCGTTAAGGAAAAGGAACCGGAAGAAGAGAATACTCAGGAGCAAACGGAGCTTCCTAAGGAGTGGAGAACGTTGAAGAATCACCCGATTGACAACGTCATTGGTGACATAACGCAGGGAGTTTCTACTCGTAATTCTCTTAGGAACACAATTAATCACATGGCCTTTGTTTCACAAATTGAACCAACAACCGTTTTGGATGCTATTAATGATGAACATTGGTCTATGACAATGCAAAATGAGCTTAACCAATTTAAACACAATGATGTTTGGGAATTGGTGCCTAGACCTAATGATCATTCCGTTATTGGCACAAAATGGGTGTTTCGTAACAAACTCGATGAAAATGGAGTAATCACTAGAAACAAAGCTAGGCTTGTAGCTAAAGGCTACAATCAAGAAGAAGGTATTGATTATGAAGAAATTTATGCACCGGTTGCACGTTTAGAAGCTATTCGTTTATTACTTGCTTTTACATCTACGATGGATTTTAAACTTTATCAAATGGATGTTAAAAGTGTCTTCCTTAATGGTATCATTCAAGAGGAAGTGTATGTCGAACAACCCCTGGGTTTCGAAGACTATGAGTTTCCCGAACATGTCTTCAAACTCAAAAAGGCGCTTTACATTCTCAAACAAGCACCTCGTGCTTGGTATGAACGGTTAAGCAAATTTCTAACGAGGTTTTGTGCAGGGATTTTTCCGATATGATGCAAAGTGAATTTGAAATGTCGATGATGGGAGAATTAAAGTTCTTCCTTGGGGTGCAAATTAGACAATGCAAAGAAGGGACATTTGTGTGTCAAACGAAATATTGCAGGGAATTGCTTAAGAGATTCGATGTTACCGAATCCAAATCCATTGACACACCAATGAGCACCTCTTGCTATCTCGACAAGGATGAAAAAGGTAAAGAGGTAGATATCAAGCGCTACCGAGGTATGATCGGCTCTTTACTTTATCTTACCGCGAGTAGACCGGATATCATGTACTCCGTTTGTATATGCGCTAGGTATCAATCATGTCCTAAAGAGTCACACTTGGTTGCGATCAAAAGGATAATGCGATATCTCGCGGGCACGTTGAACGTAGGTCTTTGGTATCCCAAAGGTTTGACATGTCATCTTGTTGGTTATTCCGAGTCGGATTTTGCAGGTTGCAAACTCGATAGGAAAAGTACCAGCGGTACTTGCCACTTATTCGGTCATTCGTTAATCTCGTGGTTTAGTAAGAAACTGGTTAGTGTTGCACTTTCCACCACCGAAGCGGAATATGTCGCTGCGGGAAATTGTTTTGCCGAAATTCTTTGGCTAAAACAGCAACTAGTGGATTTCGGCCTTATACTTGATCGCATCCCAATTAGGTGTGACAATATGAGCGCTATTAGTCTAATGAAGAACCCCGCTCTTCACTCGCGGACTAAACACATAGAAATTAGGCATCACTTCATACGAGATCATGTCCAAAAGGAAGATGTCACAATTGAGTTTGTTGAAACGAAACATCAATTAGCGGACATTTTCACGAAACCCCTTAGTAGGGAGAGTTTCTTCCACATTCGGAACGAACTTGGCATTTTGGACATCTCTATGAACTAATTCATTCTTTTTATTTACTTTACTAATTTGAGCGTCGGAGGAGCGATAAATTCTTTTTTGCAGGGCTTGTACTGCAGGTATCTCTTCCCTTGGTATCAAAGCGAATTGGACGTGATGAGGTTTCTGTCAAACAAGTTTTAATCGATTACTCCTCGAAGAGAAATCGATTAGTCTCCTTTGTCCCTCTTAATCGATTACTGGTCTTTTGTTTAATCGATTAAAGTCCTTCAGCGGAAACTTCTTATTCTTAATCTCTGCTTCATTTTTTTAATCGATTAATCCTCCTAATTTAATGGATTAGACCCGGCTGTGCTTACTAATCGATTAAATCGATCTGAATAATCGATTAATTATCGTTTTTGGCTTGATATATTCAGAGACTGTGTCTTCATCTTCTTCGCCTATCTCATTTTACAGATTCTCTGTTGCCAAACCCTAGCTCCTTCCCTTCTCCGATTTCCTCAAGCTTCATCAAAAATTTCACAAATTTCTTCCATTTGTTTTACCAAATTTCATCAATTTCAAAGAAGAAAGATGCCAAGGTGCAAGAACGCTTCATCGCGTCAAGAATCGGCGGCAGAAGAAGGTGAGAGGCCATGGCGTCGTGAAGGGAGCAAGTACATCCACATCCAAACCGGACTCGCCTTCAACACTGGGGCTTCAGCCGAGAGGTTCCACAACAACTTTCTCACAAAGGAGATCGTCTCACCTAAGATTGTGGACAAGGACCTCTTCAAATCGGCGACCTATGCCCCGAGTAAGTCTCTTTTCTCTCAGCAAGGTTTGCTTTGTTTCATTCATTTGACGTATGAATTCTTTTGTCCAAATCTTATACGTCAATTTTATGCAAATCTTCGTACCACTAAGGGAGACTCGCCATCTCTCATTTCCTATGTTGACAGCAAAACCGTTTTCATTGACGGTGCCGGTTTGACTTCTCTGTTTGGCCTTCGTCGAGGTGAAATTACCGAAAACTTGGATGAAACATTCCAAGATGATGCAATTTGGCGATAACTCGGGTTAGATCATCGTGACCTCAAGTTTAGAAATTCTAGCAACCCGAGTGTCATTAACCTCACTTTGATTCAACGCGTCCAACAATACATCTTCTCCTATGTTTTGTTGCCCCGTGATTCGAACCATGGCGTTGTCAACAAGGACGATATTTGTTTGTTTCACGTCCTATTGAATAATGTCAAATTTGATTGGGTTCACTTATTTATCATTGCACTTAGTGATGGCACTCGTTTTTCCCATCTCCGTTTTGCCATCCCCATCATGCATATCCTTGCTCATTGCAAAATAGACCTTACTCGGGACACTCAGGTGCCGGTCAAGAAGACTTGCTACATCATGGACACCAAGTTTTCCCGGATCATGTACCGTGAGGAGGGCGATGCTGCACCAAATCTGGACCTGGTAGTCACAGACGAAGAAGAGAGCCAAAACGAGACTCAAGCCGAGTCATCACGTGCTGGAGGAAGTCGAGCCACGGAGCGCGTCACTCGTCAACGCAGGACTCGTCCAAGAGAAGAAGCGCCGGAACCATCTTGGGTGAAGAGGATCTTCGATACTCTCATGTGCATCCGAGATGACGTTCGCTAGCTCAACGAGAGGATGACTCGTTTTGAGCAATCCCGCTCCTACCGTGGTCCGCGTCACAGCTTTAGCGGAGGAGCTCGTCCGGCGAACTCTCTTTGATTATGTTGTCCGTTATTATGACTTATTTTGATACATTACTAAATGCTATTGTTATTGCTTTTATAACTCTTTTGGTGGATGATGATAATGCTTTGGTTAATGACTATTTACTGGTGTTAATTGATGATGTTAACTGTGTATTGATGTTGATTTGGCAATATTATTCACTTTTAGAACATATTGTCCCTTTGTGGCATTTTTTTTGGAGTTCTCTTTGTTTTTAAGAAAACTCTTGCAAATTTTTTTACTATCCTTCAATATCTCGGCATTGATTAAGGGGGAAGGATATCGGTTGATAATGCCAAAAGGGGAAATGAAGGATAGTTGAGAAACCTTGGTTTTCAAAAACGTTTCTCCGCTTATTACTCCGAAACTGTTTTCTGCACTTCTCTAACCATGTAGGGGGAATTATATTAAGGAAAATATTTCTTGAACTCTTACTTTGTTTTTTCTCAACTATGTTTATCATTATCAAAAAGGGGGAAATTCTTGGACATGAGTTCAAACCCCTTTATTATTTCTTCTGGAATATTTTTTGTTTTGATGAATGACAAACAGGATGATTAATTTCAAGCTGATCGAAAATTTATTTTTCGTATCGAGAAAAGCAAAGAGGCGTATCAAGATATTTTCGGTGATAAAATCAACGCTTAACCCTACGCAGACTTTTGAAGTGAAGTGAAGATTCCGAAGACCTTTTATTTTTTATTAAGTCTAGGAATTTTTGTAAGGATGACAATACTTTCTGCATAAAAAAATTAATTTTGAGGGATAAAAATTATTATTTTCTGAGTCAGTTGAAAAATTATTCTTTCTGTCTAAAAATATTTTACTGAGTCAGTTTCAAAATAGTGTGTCAAAATTTCTTAAAAACATTTTTTTAGAATACACAATTTTTTTTGTGGTAAGAAAAATATACTTTAAATATTTTTCGTATACATCGTTTGACACACAAAATAATTTTTGGACTCACTTTTTCTCCCCTATTCAAATTCATTGAATAAGGGATATTATCTTCGAGAAGCGTTTGTGTTATTCTCGTTGTCTCAAACAATGAATAAGAAGCCAAATTCACTCCTCATCGCAACTTGGCTTGGGCCCTTTGTGTTTGCGCATTATTTCCATTGTAATCGATTAAATATCTAAAATTAATCGATTAGATCCAATTCCTTAGCGCTGGATTTCTCAGGCCTTCAGTATTAATCGATTTTTATTATTCATTTAATCGATTAGTGCTTACAGCGCCGTCTAATCGATTTTCCATCAAATTTAATCGATTAAGATTGCATTCTTTGCTAAAGACTTTTTCCAATTAATCGATTTTTATTCGTCACCTTAATCGATTAGTTCAGACAGCGCCGTCTAATCGATTACTTTCTCCACTTTAATCGATTAATTTTGTCTGGTGCCTATTCTCAGCCTGCTTCAACGGTTTTATTTTCTTCAGCTTATTTAATCACTCTTTCTCCTTCATTTTAAGATACAACTCTTGCACTCCAATATCTTCTTTGAGCTATATTCATTTCTTGCTTCCATCTTCCTCATCAAATATTATTTTGAGAGTTAGAAATATTTTCATTGAGTCCTAAAGATATTGTCATCCATAGAACTTTCATATTTCAACACTTATTGCTCAATTGTGTGAGCTTTCATTCTTGTGTTGTAAACTCAATCCTATTTGAGTGTTGCTAGGACTTGTGTGATTCAAGTCTTGTTGTTGTTAAGACTTGTGTGACTCATGTCTTGTTGTTGTAAGAAAGTGAGGCTTGTGTGATTCAAGTTCTCAAGTTGTACCGGTTTTTCAAGCACCCGTTGAAGCTTGAAGATTAGTAGGACTTTCGAGAGAGTCTCTCGGAGGACTGGACTAGCCACGAGGTGGTGAACTAGTATAAATCTCGTTGTTCCTCTTTCCCTTACTCTCTTTATTTATTCCTGCGATTTTATTAATTCACACACGCGAAAAACGCACATTCTTGAAAACAACTCTATTCACCCCTCTCTAGAGTTGCACATTTGTCTAACATAATGCCCTTTGGTTTGACCAATGCTCTAGCAGTATTCATGGATCTCATGAATAGTGTATTCCGACCTTATCTTGATCAATTCGTGGTTGTATTCATCGATGATATTCTTGTCTATGGGAAGAATCGAGAAGACCATGCGAAACGTTTGGAGATGGTACTCAGTGTACTACGGGAACATAAACTGTATGCTAAACTGTCAAAGTGTGAATTTTGGCTTGATGAAGTTACGTTTTTGGGACATGTGATTTCTCAAGAAGGTGTTAAAGTGGACCCAGTAAAATATCTGCCATCACCGGGTGGAAGGTTCCAAGGAATGTTTGTGAAGTGAGAAGCTTTCTTGGATTAGCTGGATACTATTGATGATTCGTTGAAGGCTTTTCCTCGATCGCAACTTCACTTAACAAACTTCTGAGAAAATATGTGAAATTTGTATGGACCTATGCATGTCAGCAAAGTTTTGAGAAACTAAAGAAATGTCTGACACAAGCACCTGTACTGACACAACCACTACCAGGTGTAGACTACACGATCTTTAGTGACGCATCTCATAATGGCTTGGGATGTGTACTCATGCAAGACGGAAAAGTCATGGCATACGCATCAAGGCAGTTGAAGCCTCACGAATGTAACTATCCTACTCACGATCTTGAGTTAGCAGCAATCGTATTTGCTCTGAAGATATGGCGTCATTATCTTTTTGGAGAGACAACATATATTCACACAGACCACAAAAGTCTGAAATACCGGCTAACTAAAAAAGAGTTGAACCTGAGACAAAGAAGATGGTTGGAATTGATCAAAGACTACGACTGTTACATAGACTATCACCCTGGTAAGGCCAACGTAGTTGCTGACGCACTAAGCCGAAAGATGATAGCCGAACTCCGAATTTAGCCTACTCTTGAGAACGAAATTCACGCTGCACAAAAACGTGATGACTACTGTTTGAAGACTGGTGAACTTGTCTCTAAGGGGGAGAGACAAGATTTCACTATGAATGATGGAATTTTATTCTACAAGAATCGTTTGGTAGTTTCTAGTGGCGAAGTGAGGGAACGTTTAATGCGTGAATCTCACGAAACCACTTATACCATGCATCTTGGTAGTAATAAAATGTTCCAAGATATGAAGAAGACATATTGGTGGCCCACAATGAAACGGGAAATTTCTGAGTTTATAACTCGATGCCTAACGTGTCAACAAGTGAAGGCTGAGCATCAAGTGCCCAGTGGGTTGTTACATCCACCTACCATCCCTGAATGGAAGTGCAACGAATTACGATGGACTTTTTGATCGGACTTCCATTATCAGCCAAGAAGAATGACGCTGTCTAGATAATCATTGACCGATTCGCCAAGTCATCTCATTTTGTTCCTATTCGGCGTGATATGTCACTAAAGATATTAGCAGAGCTGTACATCCGCGAGATCATAAGATTACATGGTGTACCTTTGTCTATCATTTCTGATCGTGACCCGCGATTCACGTCACAATTTTGGAAGAGTCTGTAGAAAGCTTTAGGTACTAAACTCAACTTTAGTACTGCATTCATCCTCAAATTGACGGACAATCTGAAAGGACAATTCAAATTCTTGAAGATATGATGAGAGCATGTGTAATTGATTTTGGAAGCAACAGGGAACAATACTTACCGCTAATGGAGTTCGCTTATAACAACAGTTATCAAGCGAGTAACCAAATGGCCCCGTACGAAGCCTTGTATGGGAGACGTTGTAGAACCCCAGTATGTTGGACAGAGTTAAGCGAGCAAAAGCTTGAAGGACCTGATCTTGTTCGAGAAATGGAAGAAAAGGTTCGTCTAATCAGAGAAAGGCTACAAGTGGCTTCTGACCGACAGAAATCTTATGCCGACTTGAAGCGTCGTGAGATTGAATACATCGTGGATGACAAGGTATTTCTGAAAGTATCACCTTGGAAGAAAGTGGTAGGAAGGGAAAACTAAGTCTAAGGTATATTGGACCATACCGCATCACTGAACATGTGGGTCCAGTAGCCTACCGGTTAGAACTTCCGCACGAACTGAATAAGATTCACGACGTATTCCATGTATCGATGTTGAAAAGATACCGTTCCGATCCATCGCATATCTTGACTGAGGGAATCGTAACTCTTGATGAACAATTGACTTACGAGGAAGAACGTGTACAAATTCTAGCACGTGAGGTCAAACAATTGAGAAACAAATCCATACCTCTAGTCAAAGTACTGTGGAGGAATCACTCGACGGAATAGGAAACATGGGAAACCGAAGAGTCAATGAGGACACAATATCCGAACCTCTTTAATCAATGACTCAGGTAATTTCGAGGACGAAATTATTTTAAGGGGGAGAGAAATGTAACGCCCCGAAATTAGGCCTATCAGAATTAATTAGTTGATAATTAATTAATTACACACAAAAATAAGTGATTTATAAAGTTTGTCAATAAATAATGAAAATTATATCATTATGTAGAGTTTGACTGTCTGACCTTAACGGTTCAATCGGATTTCAATTTGGAGAAAGTTGGACCAGAAAGTGTACCCCGACTGGGACCAAATATTAGTCCCAATCAGGGACTACGTCCCAATCACCGTGCAATCAAGGAAGCTGCAAACTCCCTGTCTTCTTCCTCCTTCACTTGGCTATTTAAGGAGAGCCAATTCTTCCATTTCATCACCAAAAATATTCATTCTTCCTCCTATATTGTTCCTTGCTGAGAGTAGAGTGCAGTGGTGCTGTCATCTTTGTGTGAGATCGCCGGAGCAGTGAGATAGAGTCACCGAAAGTTTCGCCGGAAAATCTTTAAAACCTCCCTTACGCTTCAAGGTAAGCCCGTAGATATATCTAATGACTAGAATGTTCATATAGGTCGTTTCTACGTTCATAAATGTTCATTTGGTTGAGTTTTGTGTTTGACATGTTTGAAGAACCAAAAATCATAAACCTTGAATTTGATGTTAAAAATATGTTTTAATAAATCAAAAAATGATCTATGATCCTTGGAGAATATTTCTATATACTTTAATTGA